GGGGGTGGGGGGGGGGGGGGGCAGCATGTTTACTCCTGTTGTGTGCAATCGTGAGATTAGATTTTCAAGGTAGACAGACAGCTTGAGATACGGCAGTAGGGATGTGACGATATGACAAAAACTCTCCACGAAAAGGACATATCGTGAACCACGCTCGCATCTTGCGAGCACGTGGTAGAACCTCGGACCAAACTAAAGCACCTCGTTGACAAACATTTCTATCCCAAGTCGTGGAATGCTCGTGAAACACTTGACCTGCGTCCGGCCAAACTTGAGGGGTAAGCCGACATAAACAAACGAGTGTCTACGAGGAACGATGTGGCGTGTCGCACGTACACAACCATTCCACGGCGGTAGAGCAGAAGGGGCGAACAGTACCGCCCGTATGAAACACATACACTTATGTGCCCCTCGCACTCGAGCAACGTCACTTGCTGCAATTTCCTCACCAGATCTCTCACGCTAGCACCACGAACACCCTACACACTTACGATTGATTTCATCACGCACAAAAAATCTCTGCCGTACACCGCGTGTCGCCAATCCTTCCAAGATGACACAGCAGCAGCAGCAGCAGCAGCAACAGTGGCGCTATGTACGACATACTCTTCTCGTTCACTCACGTCATACGTCGTCACGACCACGTCGAATGCGGCCACCTGCTTCGCGCTCAGCCTGCGCCTCTCCCTCAAGGGCATCACGTAGTTCAGCACCGAGAGACCCCCGGAGCCTGATTCTAGCCTATCGGACCACCGCCATGCGGCCTCCTTCGTAGGCGCTAAGATAAGAGTAGGCCCGCAAGGCAGGCCCGTCCCGGTATGTATTCGCCTCGCCCTACTGTTGACAGGGAAGAGAGGGGGGGGGAGGGGGGGTGACCGAGCGATAACCATGGCGGCAAGAGCCTTGCTACGTGGTGACGGAACATGCCCCGATGGGCAACGGTCATATCTTTGTTGTCATCCGATATATTCCGGGCGTTGGTCCTTACATACATTTCGGAACAATTCCGGACGCACCAGCCGGGGTCGCACAGAAGGCAGGCCACAACGAAGTTACATTCGTTGGATTATTCGTGAGGTGCTCTCAGATGTTGATGTTGCCATCAAAATAATCTGGACCAGTATTGCCGCCCTATTCCACCAAGAGCTATTTAGCTCACCTGCCGACCTTCCTCCCGCTTCCGTCGCCATCGTTGAAGGTAACGCCCGCCCGAACAACGGCATGCACACATGTCGACGCCTCGTCGGACGGGAGATGACCCAATAGCCCTCCCTTGATGTCGATAGCGCCGTCATCGTCGTCGTCGCTGACCGAGGCCTCTGCTGCAGCTGCCGATCTTCCTCCTTTCTCGCCTCGCTCCCGCCAGAGCATCCACTGCAGCGTGCTCTTCTGCAGGGTGGAGAGGGTCGAGCCTTCCCGCGCCTTGTTGGCGAGGTTGGCCACCTGCTTCGGAGCCGCGCACCGCAACAAGATGGTTTTGTCACCTCGGGCGGACATCGTCATCCCACCTCAATCGAAAAATCTCCTGGTACAAGATGCACATGTATACGTTCCGTCTGGAATGCTCACCCAGTCCACCACATGATCCGACAAGGGACAGCCGATGCGGGGCAACCCGGCCCGAACCTCTCAGCTTCGAACCTTCTACTTATAATAGATAGGATTGAGCGGGCTAAAAGCCGAAACAGCTCTCAACCGCTTGAATGACGATCGGCACGGACGCCACCGCGCTGCTGCTGTGTTCTCGCACCTGCAGGGGGGGATAGAACCCCCCGAGAGAACGATCTCTGGCACCAGCCCCACGCCGTCGCGGCGTGCCCTCCGCAAGCGACGAGTCACCCGTCATATCCTCGTCGGCTCCCGCTTCCTTTGCGCCAGCCCCTGGCTTACTTCTTTCCGGCTCGCTTTCCGAGAACGAATCGATCGAAGCCTGTTCGCTGTACTCCGCAAGTCCACCACGACGATCACCACCACAACCACGAGCACCACTACCACCACCATCGTAGCGTCCGCCATCGCGGGTGGAGACCGGAAGCGACTCTTCCTCGTCCGAGCGTTCGTCGCACCGTCCTCTCGGTGGGGCGTTAGTTCTGTCTCCGAGGGCTGTACGTAGCGACACCACTCGGGTGTCGGCGGCGCTCGACTGGGTCGCGCAGCGTTCCTCAGGCGTTTCCCTCGAAACCGAAAAAGCCCTCTCGCGGTGTTTCGACGCAGTGCGTCGCGGCGAAAACGATGGGTGTCGGGGTGGCGGTGGCGGCATCAAGCTCCCGGAGTCCGCCTGTTTGTGTTTGCTTCGTGCCTCCTGTATACTAGCGTCCACGTTCCCACAGCCAGGATCACCGCGTTCCTCCTCTTCCAGCCTCGAGCCGGCTCTCACCACAAGCGGTGACTTGGAAGAGCTCAAACGCGGCGCAACCTCCGGTGTCAATGTTGTGTCCCTGTCCTCTGACATGTCCTCCCTTGAACGAGGGAGAACGGAAGGCGGCGTCCCCGACCCTTGCGGCGGCGACGGTGCATCATCGGTAGTTTCCGACGTCGCTGATCTGACGGGAGACAAGCCGCAGTCACCGTCGCCCCCGCCGGGTGGCAAAGCCCAGCCGCCACCGTTGTCGCTGCCGTAGCCAGCATCGCCCATTTCAGCGGCATCCAACGACCCGGCAAGCACAAACGGCGACAGCGAGCTGACCCCACCCGAGCCGTCCAAGAAAACGACGCCTTCGGAGTCGGGACTGAGCATTGACCCTAAGCGTTGCCCTTGTCGAGATCCCCTTGTCGACGCCCCGCCCGGACTCCGCGCTAGCGTAAAGCTCGCCCCGTTGTTGCCGAGAACGCCACCCCCGTGGGGGTCGCCACTGACGTCTCTCACCTCCCAAGACCCACGGTCGAACGACGGCCTCTGCTCACGACGAATCATGCTCTCCCTGTTCGGCGATGCCGGCCCTAGCCGCAAGATCTCCGGAGACTCCGCTTGTTCGTCTACTCTCGCGTTATCGCCTGCCTGGGCCCGACATTCCAGCAGCGCGTCCCCTTGTGAACTCGGCTCGTGGTGAGGGCTCGGCCTCCCGCTGGTGAGTCCAGCAGCGGGCGCCGAGACACTCGCCGGTGTTGGGTCGTTCCCTACGAGGGAGCTCAATAACCCGAGCAGCTTATCAGGCGCGTGTAGGGTGGAACCAACGAACCGTCTTCTATCGCCGTCACTGAGGTCGTCGTCATCGGCACCGGCCTTCCGTTCGCCCGACAAGGCGTCCCCGTTGCGACCCTTCCCTGCCGCTGAAACCTTCCGCTCAAACTCCAATTGGAGCGGCGATCGGCGACAGCATTCAGCCGCCGAAGGGATGACCCTGGCCGCGGCGGCGGCGCCATCGTAAACGGGGGCGCTGCTGCTGCTGATGCTGCCAGCCAAAGGGGTGGGGACCAATGCGCACTGACTGTCATCAACGGCGCCGCCAACGGCGCCGAGCACGTCGTCGTCTTCCTCAACGAGAGCAGCAGCCGTGGCTGCTGCCACAACCTCCCCGGAAAGGTCGGTCCGACTGCTGCCGCTGCCACTATCGCCGTACCCGCTACCCTCCAGCACGGTGACGCCCACCTTCACCCCCGACCGCTCTACCGACAGCACAGCACCCCGTAGATGCTCCTCCTCGTCCTCGGAGAAACTGGCGCCACTCTTGCCCACCCCGCGCGGGCTGGCGTGCACCACCGTGACCCCTCCAATCATACTCGACTTGTCTTCAGACGAGGCGTAAAGAGGTGATTGCTCCTCTTCCTCCTCGTCCTCCGCCGCTCCCGTAGTCCCACCATGTGCTATTTCCTCCCCTTCGATGCGCGTCGCGTCCAGGCATGCGGACAGCTGTGACATCAATACCTCCTCCGGAAACATGTCCGGCCGCAGCGGGGTAGTCCCCGAACTTGACGCAGCAACACATGGCACTTCTCCCTTTTCCTCTTCCTCGTGCTCGAGGGGACACGCCACTTCTTCCCCACCTCCACTCGAGCCACCCTGGGTGCGATCCTGGGCGACCGCAAACATCTCTTCATCTTTGTAGGCTGCTGCCGGGGATAAATTTCTGCCAAATAGATCGCTATTGCTCGTCGCTGATGTTGTTCCTTCTTGTGCCTCAGCCCCCACCGGCTGATGCGCCTCACGATGCAAGTCGTGCCCCGTCTCTTCCGATCGGCCCCTCACTGGCGGAGGCGTTGACAGCTCCGATTCTGTTCCATCGAGGTGGAGCGATTCCATGAGTTCTGACAGATCGTCCCGGCCGATCGGTCGTTGCTCCGTCTTCGTCTCCGGTCCTCCCGGCCGAGACTCGAGGCACTGCCTCCGGCCCTCGTATTCAAAAGCGGTCCCGTCGCCTCTTCCGACCGTCGTCTGGGAGGAGCAAAGCTGGTCATCCCTGGCAGCGTCTACACTCCCGAGGGCGTCACTCCGGCTACTGGAAACGGCGCAAGAATCCCCGACGACGGGAAGATATTTGTCTCCTTCATAGGATCGCTCCTTCGCCCCTGAGCGAGATGCCTTCACGTCGTTTGGAAGCGGCCTGCCTTTCCCGCTATTGGCTTGGACCGGTGCGGGATTGTACATCGACGCGAGGAAAGAAGGGCCTGGGTTCTGGAACATCGGGGGCAGTGTGTCGAGTGATTTCCTGCGGTGGGCGGGCGGGACGAAGCGGCGATGAGAGATACGATATAGCTGGCGTGCGTTCCAGGTTGTGCGTTCCGGGGGTCACGAAGGCTCAAGGCCATCCGAAGGCGTGAAACCGAAACATGGGTAGAGCGAGTCCCAGGTAGGTCAATTGTCCAGGACAGAAAATTTATGGTTTGCAGTGCAATGAACCACTACAGTAAGGCTGCACACACTGCGATTTGGCTTCCCTGGTTGCTCGTGGTTGACACGTTCCCAACCAGCTCATCATGGTCTACTCTCTACTCTGTCATGTGGACACCTATTGAACAGCACATTGAGCACAAGCGAGTATTTCTGTAAGTTAGCCCACAGCCCATCATGATTCAACACCAGGAAATTTACACTAAGTATCTAAGTAGCATCTTACACGTCACGCAATCTACATGTGCCATACAATATCATAATAGGTGCTTCCAGAACTGCGCTGCGAGTTGTGCGTCCAAGTTGGCACCGCACGCGGTGTCGTTCGCAGTAAAGACCAGGATTTCACCCTGTCGCACCTTCCGCTCGATCTCAGCAGGCTACCGCTCGCTAGAGAGCTGGCATCTGCGTCGGCGCCATCATCCCCGTCCGGTCTCCTCTCGTAGTCGATCCAACCTCCCTCCGCCCTCTCGATCCTGGCCAGGATTTCTTCTACGCGCATCACATCCTGGACATCAATGCGCCCGCTCCCAACCCTGCCATCACTGCTGTTTCCAGCAACGCCATCGCTGGTCTTCTGGTGGTGTTTCGAAATGGCGCCGTCGACGAAGGCGGCCCAAGTCTTGTGGTACATGGCTGCGTTGCTGAGGAGGGCCATTTGACTCGTGTAGCATGTAGTCTACTCGCTGTACTGCTGCTTGGGCAGAGTAAAAGAAAATGTTCAACGACAAAAAGTTGGTTCTCCGCAGATTTGAAGCAGCGGTGAGTCAAGGAGCCGGCGAAGCAGACAGGGAACACGACAGAAGAAGAAGAAGAAGCGCTGAAGGACGAACGAAAACCAGCTGCACCAAGACGAGAACCAAGGAGAGGCGGAACGGTACACGGAGACAGCAATGAGTGCTCGAGCCCAACCAACCAGCAACTCCGCGCAGGCCGCGCACTTGGGAGCCCCGGCACATCATCCGGAATCTCCGTGCATATGTGTCGGATCACCTGCTGATTGACGACTTGACAACACCACACGACTTGGCTGCTGTTCAGTTGCTTATCGAGATCCCCGGATGGAGACATCTGATGCAGGGATGCCCACAGCACAAGGGGGTGTGGAGGTGAGCATACCAGCCAGTTGTCGGGTCTCTCCTTTACACAAAAACAATGCGCTCCCCCCATGTAGAAACACAGCAAGTCGCATCTTCACTTACCCGCAACGTGATACATTACAGGAGCCACAGCAGCTGCTCTGTCTGTACCTCAGCACTCAGCTGCTCACAACTGCATAGCGGTATCTGTCGCCAGGGTACCAGTCGGGCTACATGTGCTGCCCCCATGAGAGAGAAAACTACAGACCAACCGGTGTGTGTTCACTGTTTACTGGTCTCTTGTGCAGTCGGTCTCTGTTGTTGCTGAACGATTGATTCCGCCGCATGCAATGTGTGTGCATGCTCTTGCCCGCGCCTTAGCAGCACCGCGGGGATGGCACCCCAGCACCAACGCCACCAGCAGGAGCAGCAGCAGCAGGAGAGACGGATTCCCGGCGAAGGTCAAAGCACAAGCACACGCCAAACAGAGGGGACGATGGCCGGGGCAAGAGGCCGCGGAAGGGCGACGCCAAGCGCGAGCGAAAGAAGAAGGCCCTGGCGCACGCCGCCGAGAAGTGCGAGTACTACGTGGACGATCACGGTACGTGACACGTCCCTCCTGGTCCGTTTTCTGCGGTATGGGTGCGGCTGGGAGCATGCGTCCCCCTCTCCGGTGGCGTGATAGGTCGCCTCTCCTCTGTAAAGCAGAGTATGTTGGTATCGTGTGTTCCTCGTTGATCGGGCACATTGATCGGCCGCAAACCGAGAGACACGAACTCTGCATTCTACAAAATCCAACTCACACCCTATGTACGAATGCCCACTGCCTGCAGCAGCAGCGATCGTGGAAGTTGAGGCATACCAATACTGCTGGATCGAAATGTTGTCCCAAAGATATCCCCCGCCTAGCCGGACCTGGGGTTGTTCATATCCAAACTCCAGGAACCCTGGAACCTTTCGCCGAGGTTGACGACTCCCCAGGTCGGTACCGGATGCATGATGTCAACGCCCCTCACCGGAGTCATTCCTCGGAATCGCTTATTTTGTTTTCTGTTTCAGGCCTTCGAAGGGTACGGCCGTACATCTATGACTTCCAGACGCATGCCAAGGAACGCTGGCTCGGCCGGACGGTCGTCGACGTCTTCAGTAAGTTTTTCTCGGGCTTGTGAGCCGGGTGTGCTTTGGTTTCTTCATCGACGACGCCGGCACTATCGGCGCCGCGTTTCAGTGCAACCGATCATTCAATAGCCCTTACGATAGTGTTCGCCTTTGTTGGCTTGTGCCGGAAACCAGATCGAGAACGCTGACTGCTGGTCGCGCCTGCGAACATGCTGACTACGAGGCAAGCAAACAGGTTTTGAAGGTCGTGGAGACGCGTGCCGTTTGTTATCGTGCGCATTTTGCAGTGGAGGAGCCCACGCGTGCTGAGCGCCGCCCCCTCTGGACAGAACACCGCCCGAGGTGGACCGCACTCGACTACAAGAGACGAACCACCACCCTTCCAGGAATCCCGCACCACGTTTCGAGAAGACCCGCACCACCTTACGAGAAGACCCACACCACCTTTCGTGACGATTCACACAACCTTTCGCCCTTTGTCGGCTTTGTTTGTCTTCTCCCCCTCCAGGCGCCGAGTTCGGCGGCGAAGCGCGCAGCCACTACGAGAACGCCGTTCGCGGCGGGCTCCTGACGGTGAATGGGAACAAGGTCGGGGTGGACTACGAGCTCCAAAACTCAGACCTGATCTGCAACAAGTGAGTCGCGAGCCCCCCCCCCCCCCCCCCCTCCCCCGTGATGTCATGCGTGTGCAATGCTTATTTGCGAATTTGTCAAGTGAGCTTTCATTGTTGCCCCTAATTGTCTCCGCACAAATCATTGTGTTTCACCCCACCCCTGGTGTATCGTGTATCGACTCCAAGACGGGCCACTGATGTTCAAAGAACTGGCGGTTGCCTTTGCCGCTGGACTGCAGGACGCATCGCCACGAGCCTCCCGTTTGCGGCGGCGACATCCCTATCGTCAGCGAATCGGCGGAAGAGCTCGTAGTGGACAAGCCTTGCACGGTGCCGATCCATCCTTGCGGCTCCTACAGGTGGGCAGCAGCGCTAGAACTTCGGGTTGCTGTTACTGCTTGCGAGAGGGCGCATGTGTTTTTTCGCAGGTGTGCTCGTTCTGCTCTTCGTTCAGGCTGCTGCTGTTGCTGCTGCGGTGGCGGCGGCGGGAGCATTTTTCGTCCGCCTATTGCTGCTTGATGAGCTTTAAATTTGACGTCATCAATCCCGATCGCTGTGCACTTGGGTGGAAAGGTCATGGACCCGACTGCGGATGTGTGATCTCGGGCGTGATGGGAAGGCGTGTTTGTGTCGCGCCGGCGCGAAGCCTGTGCCCTCTTCCTTGTCCTCTCAAGGAGTTCCACACGAACGACATGATGAGGCGTTCATAAGGCGCCCATTCGTTGTTCTTTTCGGTTTCGTATGCGTACGAATGAGGGCGATTCTCCTACTTATGCATCCTTACACTCCCCCCCCCCCCCCCGTGTGGTCAGTGGTCTAACAACTAGGCATGATGTTTCCCCTCCCTCTACCGCATGCACGGCTGCTAGTACCCCCCGCCCCCGCCTTTAACCGAAACTTTCTTGACTGCCTGCTCATTTGGCGGGGCTTGCTTGTCGGTCCCACGAAAGGTTCAACACGCTGTTCTACATCATGCACCGCCAACGGCCGGATCTGACGCTTCGAGTGTGCCACCGGCTCGACCGCCTAACGTCCGGGCTTACCATCTTTGCTAAGACGGCGGAGAGAGCCGGCGTGATTCAGAAGCAGATCGGTGAGCGACCGAACATCCGATCGATCGGCCCCCTGAACTGTCGTAGAGAGAGAGAGTTGCGTACTAATACGAAACCACGCGCCCTGGAAAGATTTTCAAAGCCCGGATACTCTGCAGTGACAACATCGACGGTGTCCAAAATGGTGGCGTTTGGTCTTGTCATGGAGAGGTCATTAATAGCGGTAAATAACTGAGGCATCTTCTTCTTCGTGGAGAAGTCGAGCTTGAGAGCTTGTCAAGGCGGTGTGGTATCGGATGCATCGTAGGGTAGGCCCGCTTTTCGTGCTTGAATGTACAGTAGCAACTGCTGTGATTGAGGTTTTAAGAATGTGGAATGTCGAAAGCGAAGAGGAGGTGACCCGTCGAATCTTTATGAAAACGGCCATAGTATCGTTCGGGTGCTGAAAGTAGTCATGGGTTGCGGAGCTCCCAGATTCCAGACGCCAGAAAGACAAAAACGCGCAATGATACATATCATCGATCTACCCTCGTCAGTGACATTGCTCCTAATGGTGTCCATGCGAAAGGTTCGGGCCGAACGCGCAAGACCTACCTCGCTCGCGTCTCCGGAGATTTCGGCCAACGATTGCCGCTCGACCGCCGGAAGCAAGGTTCCCCCTCTTCCTCGGCAGCCGCCGCCGCCGCCGCCGCCTCCGCCCGGGCAGGGGGCGGGGGCGACACATCCCTGTCCCCGCCTGAAGGAACAGCCGGCACGCCGCCGAAGGAGGGTGGAAACCCCTCGGCGGGGGGGGGCACAGGGGGCGAGAGGGAAACACCCCCTGTTGTGTCGTCGGGAGGCGGCGGGCCGGCGACAGACGAGCTGTGGTGGAGGTATGAGTCCCTCGGGGAAGGGGTCGTCAAGGGTCGACTGCGAAGCAGTGGCGCTATCAGCGGAGAGGAGGGGGGGCTCGCAGAGAGCAGCGCTTCGTCGGGGGGGGTTGGGAGCGGTGGTGCCGGAGGGGAGAAGGAGGGGGTGACGGTGCGGGTGAACTGTCCGATAAGGGTGCTGGACCCGAAGCATGGAGTGTACGAGTGCCACCCGTCGGGGAAGGAGGCGCAAACGGTGGGTGTCTGGTGTGTACCGTATTCGTCGCAAGATACAGCCCCACGCAACATCGCGTCCGGTGGTATATGTTATGTTTACGGTTCATGATGAGCCCAAAACATGAAACTACTTTCAGATAAAGTCATAGGGTGACACAAGATACCACCCCACCCCCATCCACGATGCAACAACCGGTGATCATGGTTGTTTTATTGGAAGGTAGAATGTTTGACACCACCGGGGCGTCATTTCTTAAATCGTGTATGCGCACGGTATTTTGTATTTTGCTCGGGCGGTGTCAAACATTCCCTGCCTTTCAATCCGCTGGAACGGAGGCTGCAAAATCGGAGCCGATCTGCGTCAAACGCGACCCAGTCCGTGCCTAGATGAAACCCGGGCTTTGCAGTCGCGGTACTGCCCCAAGCATTCGCAGACGCTTACGCTTTGAACGACTGATTGTTGGAAATGCTTACTCCGTCTCCGCAAGTCACGATCGACCGGTCACGGTTAGGTTGCGTTCTGCTACGTGCATTGTGTATTTGTGGGGCAACAACCTCTATTTTGGGTTTGACCGTTCCGCTTTGCAGGTTGTCCGTAAGGTGGGGTACGACACCGCGAGCGATACGTCCGTGGTCGAGTGCACGCCGGTTCACGGAAGAACTCACCAGATCCGACTTCACCTGCAGGCAAGCTAGGCGTGCGTGTGTCTGGTCTCGCGAAACTCCTGAACATTAAATTGTAGAGCAGAGGACGACTTCATTCGTGACACTGCTGCTACGCGGCGCAGCCAAGTACACTCTCACACGGCTGCCATAAGGCCGGTCTCCAAATACCCATCGGGCACCGAAAATTGGGCTCTATACTCTTTTCTTTCCTCCGCCGGTCATGTGGTACGAAAAGTTTGACGGCGAGAGTTTGAACATGTACCACAGCACCGAAAAACACTTGACTGACCCCTTCATCGACGCGTAGTTCCCACCCGTAACCGGCCTGCGTACCCCCGCCCTACCACCACCCCCAACCACCCTCGACAGTGGGCAGGCCACCCGATAGCCAACGACCCTTGCTACGGCGGCGAGCTTCACTTCGGGAACCCGGAAGCGAAACGCCGAGCGGAGGAAAACCCCGACCTGGAGGGGGGATGGAAGGGAGTACCCGGCAGTAATAGTACTGCTGCTGCCGGCCGGGGTTCGATGGGAGAGAACGAAGCCCGCCAACCTCGAACATCAGAAGCGGCGGATGGGGCCGGCATGGAGGTGGATGGGGATTCCGGCGATTGGGCAGTGGAAGGCGACGGGGGTAGAGGCGGCGGAGGTGCTCCGGATGCCGTCGTTGGTGCTCCGGATGCGGGCATCGCTGGCGCGTCTGTGGAGGAAGCGGCGGTGGGTGGGGTAGTATCGTCTGGGGATGGCGTGGAGGGGCAGCGAGAGGGCGAGGACGACGAGAAGTTTATGGTGAGCGAGAGACATTGAGGCAGGCAAATAACTCTTGCACGAGTGAACAATAGCATTCGGTACTAACCACTAGTTAGCTGCTCTATAATAGCACTCTGTTCCACAAGGTGAAGATTGCACTATTTGTGAGTATTTCGCGCAAAACGCGTCTGTGGGGGCTTGTTGGACCACAGCAGTTTCATGCGAGAAATAGCGCAATAAACAGTACTCGGGGGGTCAGAGATGCCGCCGCAATTGACTGCGCCCCCGCCCCCCTGGCTGGAGCAGCGTATTCGCCTCCTTGTATATTCGCACAGGATACTTCTCCTATCGCGCAGGCAGGAACACTTTACCGACTCCGAAAGGGGTTTTCGAGGGCTCCCGAATTTCAGTAACAGCATTCCCCCTTTCCTATCCTGAAATACGGAGCTACACCAGCACCCCCCCCCCCCCACTTGCTCCTTAATGATGCGAGAGCCTGGGCCGGGGAGAAACCCGCGTGGTCCCTCCCGGCTTTTT